AGTTATTCATTAGGCTTTGGATGGTGTATCAATACACCCAGTAACAACAAAGATATAGGCAACCTTCCTAACTCAGTTGCCGGCGAGGAAGGAAACCACTTAGAAATTGTTGTGGAAATTCTAATCAATAATGAGGAGAGACAAGGTCAATCACCAATCAGGATATTACTTTATTCAAAACATATTAATAAGGCAGCAGGTCACACCACCCACACACGTGAATGGAGTGAGTGCTCTGTAATACTGAGGCTGGTTGACCCCACACTCTGAAGTGTGATGCCGAGAGCTCTGACATACAAAGAATACAAATATATTTTATAGCAAAGATACACCCTCTCAGTCTACATGACAAACAGCAGATGTGTGGAATGAGTCAAAAGGTTAGGATTTGTATGAAAGAAACGAATAATTCACAGCAGACAGTATCTGCTGTGATGACTGTTCTCATTGTATGGAAACCAGGGTTTGGCCCCCAAGACGAGGTTCCTCTCATCATTATCCATACCCGAGCTATCTCCCCCGGTACCTTACATTACACAAACACCAACTCATTCTATGGAATGCATGCTGTAGGTTTGATCACCAAACCATCCATTAATCAATTGTCAGCTCCAGATACCCCTATCTCAAGTAAAACCCATGCCTAGTCTAGCTGCAGGGAGCTGGAGTAGAAACCATCCCTTTACAAAAACACAGCATTAGTAGAACAGAAATGTCTTACTTTTTGTTAAGTATATAATTTGTTAACTATTAATATTAAACAAAGCAGGTAAACATTGTACAAGTTAATTTCTCTCTCACAGGATTTCACCATGAGGCCAATCGTGATTTTAAAACAGTTACAGAGTTTAATGGCTGTGATAGGAGAAAATGGAGGATGGATCAACATTGTAGTTACTCCACAATACTAACAAATGACAGAGTGAAAAGGAAGCCTGTACAGAATAAAACTATTCCAAAACATGCATCCTGTTTGCAATACGGTACTAAAGTAATACTGCAAAATATGTTGCAAAGAAATTAACTTTTTGTCCTGAATACAAAGCGTTATGTTTGGGGCAAATCCAACACATCACTGAGTACCACTCTTCATATTTTCAAGCATGGTGGTGGCTGCATCATGTTATGGGTATGCTTGTCATCGGCAAGGACTAGGGAGTTTAGGATAAAAATAGCACAGGCAAATTCCTAGAAGAAAACCTTGTTCAGTCTGCCTTCCAACAGATATTGGGAGACAAATTCACCTTTCAGCAGGACAATAAGCTGAAACACAAGGCCAAATCTACACTGGAGTTGCTTACCAAGATGACACTGAATGTTCTTGAGTAGCCTAGTTACAGTTTTTACTTAAATCTATGGCAATACTTTAACATGTCTGTCTAGCAATGATCAACAATCAACTTGACAGAGGTTGAAGAATTTTTAAATATCATAATGGGCAAATATTGTACAATCCAGGTGTGCAATGCTCTTAGAGACTTACCCAGAAAGACTGTAACCGCCGCCAAAGGTGCTTCTACAAAGTATTGACTCAGCGGTGTGAATACTTATGTTAATGAGATATTTCTACATTTTACTTACATTACATTTGCAAAAATGTATAAATACATGTTTTCACTGTCATTATAGGGTATTGTGTGTAGATGGGTGAGGAAAAAATATATTTAATACATTTTGAATTCAGGCTGTAACCACAAAATGTGGAATAAGTCAAGGGGTATGAATACTTTCTGAAGGCACTGTATGTAAAAATGTTGTTTCATCAGACCACAGAATATTTTGCCTTATGCCCGGAGTCTCTCACGTGCCTTTTTGCAGGCTTGCCGTCATGTGCCTTTTTCTCAGAAGTGACTTCCGTCTGGCCACCCTCCCATAAAGCCCAAATTGGTGAAGTGCTGTAGACTATTGTTCTTCTGGCAGGTTCTCCCATCTCAGCCAAGGAACTGTCAGAGTGGTCATTGGGTTCTTGGTCACCTCCCTGACCAAAGTCCTTCTTGCCTGGTTGCTCAGTTTGGTCGGACAGCCAGCTCTAGGAAGAGTCTGGGTAGTTCCATATTTTTTCAATTTCCCAATGATGGAGACCACTGTTCTCTTGGAAACTTTCAACACTCTAGAAATTGTTTTATACCCTTCATCACAATTCTCTCTGATATCTACAGACAGTTCCTTGGACGTCATGGTATAGTTTCTGCTCTGACATGCACTGTCAACTATGGGACCTTACAGTGCATTTGGAAAGTATTCAGACCTCTTCCCTTATTCCACACTGTTACTTTACAGCCTTATTCTAAAATGGATGAAATAAATAAAAAATCCTCAACACAACACCCCATAATGACAAAGGGAAAACAGGTTTTTAGAAATGTTGGCAAAATTTTTTTTTTTTAAATAAGACTTATTTACATAAGTATTCAGACCCTTTGCTATGAGACTGGACATTGAGCTAAGGTGCATCCTGTTTCCATTGATCATCTTTGAGATGTTTCTACAACTTTATTGGAGTCCACCTGTGGTAAATTAAATTGATTAGACATGATTAGGAAAGGCACACACCTGTCTATATAAGGTCCCACAGTTGACAGTGCATGTCAGAGCAAAAACCAAGCCATGAGGTCGAAGGAATTGTCCGTAGAGCTCCGAGACAGGATTGTGTCGAGGCACAGATCTGGGGAAGGGTACCAAAACATTTCTGCAGCATTGAAGGTCCCCAAGAACACAGTGGCCTCCATCATTCTTAAAACTGAGAAATCATGGGAAAAGGGCCTTGGTCAGGGAAGTGACCAAGAACCCGATGGTCACTCTGACAGAGCTCCAGAGTTCTTCTGTGGAGATGGGGGAATCTTCCAGAAGGACAACCATCTCTGCGGCACTCCACCAATCAGGCCTTTATGGTAGTGTGGCCAGACGGAAGCCACTCCTCAGTAAAAGGCACATGACAGCCCGCTTGGAGTTTGCCAAAAGGCACCGAAAAGCCTCTCAGACCATATGAAACAAGATTCTCTGGTCTGATGAAACCAAGATTTAACTCTTTAACCTGAATGCCAAGCATCACGTCTGGAGGAAACCTGGCACCATCATGCTGTGGGGATGTTTTTCAGCGGCAGGGACTGGGAGACTAGTCAGGATGGAGGAAAAGATTAACGGAGCAAAGTACAGAGAGATCCTTGATGAAAACCTGCTCCAGAGCTCAGGACCTCAGACTGGGGCAAAGGTTCACCTTCCAACTGGACAACGACCCTATGTACACAGCCAAGACAACGCAGGAGTGGCTTTGGGACAAGTCTCTGAATGTCCTTGAGTGGCCCAGCCAAAGCCCAGACTTGAACATCTCTGGAGAGACCTGAAAATAGCAGTGCAGCGATGCTGCCCATCCAACCTGACAGAGCTTGACAGGATCTGCAGAGAAGAATGGGAGAAACTCCAAATACAGGTGTGCCAAGCTTGTAGCGTCATACCCAAGAAGACTCGAGGCCATAATTGCTGCCAAATGTGCTTTAACAAAGTACTGAGTAAAGGGTCTGAATACTTATGTAAATGTTATATCCAGGTTTTTTACACATTTGCAAAAATGTCAAAAAAAACAACCTTCTTTTGCTTTGTCATTATGGGGTATTGTGTGTAGATTGATGAGGGGGAAAAAACAATTTAAACCATTTTAGAATAAGGCTGTAACGTCACAAAATGTGGAAAAAGTCCAGGGGTCTGAATACCTTCCGAATGCACTGTATATAGTCAGGTGTGTTTCTTTCTAAAATCATGTCCAAAAAATTGAATAGGCCACATGTGGACTCCAATCAAGTTGTAGTGACATCAATGATGATCAAAGGAAATTGGATGCACCTGAGCTCAATTTGGAGTGTCATAGCAAAGGGGTGTGAATACTTATGTAAAAGAGATGTATATATTCATTTTCAATAAATTAGTTAATTTCTAAAAACATGGTTTCACTGTCATTATGGGGTATTGTGTGTATATAGGTGAGATTGTTTTTTATATTTAATCTATTTTGAATTCAGGCTGTAACAACAAAATGTGGAATACGTCACAGGGTATGAATACTTTCTGAAGGCACTAGTGCTAGTGTGCAAACCAGTATCAACACCACAAGACAAAGATCTTTATTCTTCACACTGCAAAATGTAAAAAGCCTCAGTAAAGATTTAGCAGCTAGCAAAAACCTTTTGGACCACCTAGGCTTGTTGCTTAGGAAGGTTTCCATAGAGATGGCACAGCTATCTACATGGTAAAGAATTAAAGCACTGAGTGTGTAACAAAGGTTAAGAATCTGCGAAGATCAAAAATAGGAAACTATAATAAGGTGCCTAATTAGTGCCATACCTACGAGAAGCTACATGCAGTTGGTGTGGACGACAGTACGGTGTTGACAAACTGGGTCCCAAGGATTCGGTGTGATGACTGAGTGTATCGTGTTCAGCCATATTAAGTGGAATCCCTTAACTCTAGCCCAGAACCCAACAGAAAGTGTTGGTAAAACTTACGTTGCAGTGAGTAAGACAGTGACACTATCCACACAGCACTCAACTCATGCCAAACGAGAGGAGAAACGTCTCTGGCTTCTACTTAATGGACAGACACACCTGAAAACACACTGTTCTAAATGCAGCCCAGATACTGGATGATTGAGTTTGTCCATGTGGACAGCACATAGTGCTTTAGGCCAGAGACAAGGACAGTCTCATCTGGTCTAGACTAAGATTAGAACAGGGTTGTGTTCACTAGGCACGAATCAGAAGAAAATGGTCCAAAACGGGAAAGCACTATCTGAACTTGCTCAATACGAAAGGCTTGTTTCCAGTTGCACAACGTTTTACTACGGTGTGAATTAATTAACCCGGCACTGGAAGATGCAGTGAGGAAGGGTTAGCGAGGGGCAGCAAGTCTGAGTGAGAAAGCAAGAGGGATGCCCAAGACAGGAGAAAGAGATGACTTACAAAATACTTCTATATAGGGAATGGGGGGGGGTGGGGGGGGCGTTGTCCTTAAGAATCTACACAGAGGAAGATGGAGACAAGAGAAATGAGAGAGAGCAGTGAACATGAGTACATCTCAACAGACGGAGAGGGATAAAGATAGTAAGAGAGAGAAATAGGTGAAACAGAAAGATAGAGAACTGAGTAGAGAGATAGAGAAAGAGGGGGGGAAAATTATATAAAGAGAGAGATAAAGAATGAGAAAGATAGAGGGAGTGCTGCTGAGGTTAGAGAAGGACCACTGTGCTGAGGGGAGAAGTTAAAGAAAGGGTGGGTGAGGTCAACTGTCAACTCTCCATCCCTAAGAGTACACAGCACCGGTCCAGCAGTCTGTGTGCTGTCAATAGCTGGAAAACACCCATCCTCCATGTGATCATACTTTGCTGTCAAGATGACGCAGCAGCAGTATACTTTTGAACACAGACACTGGAGTGCGTTTAGTCCTTCAACTGTATTGTGCTACATATAATAGGTGAAGAAGCATGGAACGCTCACCATCTCCCTGCATATCTGAAGTCCATAGTGTCAGGTTGTCGCGTAGCAACTGCATGATGAGCGTGGAGTCCTTGTAGCTCTCCTCGCTCAGCGTGTCCAGTTCTGCAATGGCATCGTCGAACGCCGCCTTCGCCAACCTGAGGGCAGCAGAGTAGAGGGGTCAAAGGTTGAATTTTACAGTGCGTCCAAATCACATCAACAATGGGCTGAACATCTAGTCAACAACATGTCTTGGTATGGAATATAAAATAACATGTCTTAGAAAATAAAACATTATATTGTATTACTAGCCAGGACATCAGGTGACTTCAATGAAATGTATTGGAGCCTGTATTGCACGCCCAGTCTGAAAATTCCACCATGGTAGAAATTAGGCTTCGGCGGTATACCGTATATACCATATATCGGGGTATTTGGAAAAAGCCACAGGATGGTTTTTCTAAACCGTCGAAACTATTTCTTTGAAGTTTTTCAATAAATTTTTATATTTGTAGCTACTTTTAAGTTAATACCTGCAGTCAACTTGTGTAATACGTTAGGAGATAAAGCAGATTGCGTTTTTATTTCACCGGTCACTTTATAAAACTTACCATAGTTCCCCAGAACAGAAGGAGCCAGTCACGTGTTTGTTTGTAAATAGCACAACGGGAGAAAGCGAGCTGGTGAGTCCATAGCGTTCTATATGTATCGGCGAGTGTGTGCGGCGCACATGAGGTGATGAAGTTACACTTGTATGCAATTCACTACTTAATGTTTGCCATCAGATGTCAAAGAGTTCTGGATGAGTTCTGTACAGCTGCCATTTTTTCCCTGTGCTTCCTACTAGCATTTTTTTCTCCTCCGTTCTTCTCCCATCTGCTCTGTGTACACATGCTGCTCTTCCTTCAAAAGAAGCATGCATCACAACTTTGTTCATTTGCACAATTTATCACGTTCACTTTTGCTCGTAAATGTCCACACTCACCGAAAATGACGTTCTGTAGCTACTAGCTATGCTTGTATAACTTTATGAGCTGGATTTGCCAGTCTTTGCAATTAGTTTATGTTCGTTTTCGCTCGTTAGCATTTAGCTACATGATTACGCTATTAGTTTGTGCTAATGTAGTTAGCATTCTGGTAATAGAGGCCGAATAGGCTCTTCTTGCTCAGTAAGGCATTGCAAACAAATCAAGTCTCATGCTTGTGCTTTATTAGACACTCACAAATCGCTTTCTATTTGACACATCTTGCAATGGAGCGTAGAGGAGGGAGATGGGCGAGTGGGGAGAGAAAAGATGGGCGAGTGGGGAGAGAAAAGACGAGAGAAGAGTGGGGAGAGAAGACTGAAGACTAGACAGAAAAGTGGGTAGAGAAGACGAGAGAGGGGGCCCACCTGCATGCGCGGTCGGGGGAATTGAGGATTTCATAATAAAATACGGAGAAGTTGAGCGCCAGTCCCAGGCGGATGGGGTGTGTCGGGGGGAGTTCGATCATGGCGATGTCGCTTGCAGCTTTGTAGGCTACCAAGCTGTTCTCTGCCGCCTCCTTTCTGTCGTTGCCCGTGGCAAACTCTGCCAGGTACCTGTGGTAGTCTCCCTTCCTAAGGAAAGAGGGGAGAACGAGACCACTTATTTCAACCCCACAAAACAAAATCAATCAATCCATGGTCTGCATATGTTAACATGCTTGTCTCTTTCACAGACAAGCATGGCTTGTGGGCTGAGAAAACGCAGAATCATTCTATGAATGAAAAGGGAGCTAATGCTCTTACTGTCATGCAGCCCTTGAAACTGGTATGTGGACACCTAGGCCTACTCCTTGACCAGGACTAGACTGCCTAGAGAGACTAGCCCTGCGTCCCAATTTTCCACATTTTCCCTGAAGTATGCACTTCTTCACTCTCCTACTTGGATTTAAAAGGATTGGTGTAAGAGCCCTTGCTTACACCAATCCTGTGCTTTTAAATTCATGTGGAGTAGCGCACAAGTGCACCGTTCAGGGCAAAGGGTGGAGAATTGAGAAGCAGAGTAGATGTTTTTTCACACAGAGCGAGAGAGAGCGGAGACTTTTCTCATGTTACTAGCGCAGTCAGTCAGGGCATAGATATTCGCAAAATAGTTTTTCAAGAGCTCTCCCATCCGTAGACGTACATTTTGTAGTAGAAAACCTTTGATTCTCCAGTGTTTGCAGCTGGAATGAGGTGCTTGTCCAGTACATCCAGAATGTCGTTACAGATTGATTTCAGCTCAGTCTCCACCTGCAGAGCAGACAAAACACACAACACCTGTTGTTAACAAACTCAAGGAGAACTGACAAAACATCAACACACTCAACTATAGTCTATTTTTTAAACATGACCCTTGAAGGACCTCTTTAAAAGGTACAAAATATTTTTTTTTTTAAAGGGCCCAGAGTATAAACGTCTACTTTGAAAGGAGCCACACACCATCCCTATCTAACAAACATTTCGACAGCAAGCCACCTTTATTAGGGTTCTCCACTTCTACTACCACCGTCCACGTTCCCGTGACTCACCATTTGCCTGTATTCCCGGATCATCTTTAGTTTGTCTTCGCCTCCTTTGTTCTCCTCCTTCTGTTCAAGGCTGCTGATTATCCTCCAGGACGCTCTTCTGGCTCCGATCACGTTCTTGTAAGCCACCGACAGCAGGTTCCGCTCTTCCACCGTCAGCTCCACGTCCATGCCCGCCACGTTCTTCATGGACTCCACCATTTCTGACAGAGAGAGAGAAGAGAGAGAAAAGAATGAACCTTAACCATCAATCACCCTGCTTTCAATAAGCTACGAACAATCTGTTCTGGAGTTTGTCTGTTTTTTTTACTGGCTGCAATCACACAGGAACATACACTGCTCAAATAAATAAAGGGAACACTAAAATAACACATCCTAGATCAGAATGAATGAAATAATCTTATTAAATACTTTTTTCTTTACATAGTTGAATGTTCTGACAACAAAATCACACAAAAATTATCAATGGAAATCAAATTTATCAACCCATGGAGGTCTGGATTTGGAGTCACCCTCAAAATTAAAGTGGAAAACCACACTACAGGCTGAACCAACTTTGATGTAATGTCCTTAAAACAAGTCAAAATTTGGCTCAGTAGTGTGTGTAGCCTCCACGTGCCTGTATGACCTCCCTACAACGCCTGGGCATGCTCCTGATGAGGTGGCGGATGGTCTCCTGAGGGATCTCCTCCCAGACCTGGACTAAAGCATCCGCGAACTCCTGGACAGTCTGTGGTGCAACGTGGCGTTGGTGGATGGAGCGAGACATGATGTCTCAGATGTGCTCAATTGGATTCAGGTCTGGGGAACGGGCGGGCCAGTCCATGGCATCAATGCCTTCCTCTTGCAGGAACTGCTGACACACTCCAGCCACATGAGGTCTAGCATTGTCTTGCATTAGGAGGAACCCAGGGCCAACCGCACCAGCATATGGTCTCACAAGGGGTCTGAGGATCTCATCTCGGTACCTAATGGCAGTCAGGCTACCCCAAAGAAATGCCACCCCACACCATGACTGACCCACTGCCAAACCGGTCATGCTGGAGGATGTTGCAGGCAGCAGAACGTTCTCCACGGCGTCTCCAGACTCTGTCACGTCTGTCACATGTGCTCAGTGTGAACCTGCTTTCATCTGTGAAGAGCACAGGGCGCCAGTGGCGAATTTGCCAATGTTGGTGTTCTCTGGCAAATGCCAAACGTCCTGCACGGTGTTGGGCTGCAAGCACAACCCCCACCTGTGGACGTCGGGCCCTCATACCACCCTCATGGAGTCTGTTTCTGACCGTTTGAGCAGACACATGCATATTTGTGGCCTGCTGGAGGTCATTTTGCAGGGCTCTGGCAGTGCTCCTCCTGCTCCTCCTTGCACAAAGGCGGAGGTAGCGGTCCTGCTGCTGGGTTGTTGCCCTCCTACGGCCTCCTCCACATCTCCTGATATACTGGCCTGTCTCCTGGTAGCGCCTCCATGCTCTGGACACTACGCTGACAGACACAGCAAACCTTCTTGCCACAGCTTGCATTGATGTGCCATCCTGGATGAGCTGCACTACCTGAGCCACTTGTGTGGGTTGTAGACTCCGTCTCATGCTACCACTAGAGTGAAAGCACCGCCAGCATTCAAAAGTGACCAAAACATCAGCCAGGAAGCATAGGAACTGAGAAGTGGTCTGTGGTCACCACCTGCAAAACGTTATTGGGGGTGTCTTGCTAATTGCCTATCATTTCCACCTGTTGTCTATTCCATTTGCACAACAGCATGTGAAATGTATTGTCAATCAGTGTTGCTTCCTAAGTGGACAGTTTGATTTCACAGAAGTGTGATTGACTTGGAGTTACATTGTGTTGTTTAAGTGTTCCCTTTATTTTTTTGAGCAGTGTAGAAAATCTGGAAAATGTTGATTTTGGCTAGGGGATAGATCAGTTTCTATAATGTATGAATGGAGGAAAATGTCCAGAATGCAGGAATTCCTGATTAACCAGGACAAATTATTACCCTGACTGAGACTAACATGTAGGATTGGTTGGTATCCAGATTTTAATATCGTCATACCATCCTTCTCTCATCCTGGGATTTACGGTATTACCGGCTTAGTACACAAGGGGGCACCATAAAACGCAAAAAAAGAGCATTCGGTGTCTATTACCAGAATGCTAACACAATTAGCACAATAGCGAATTTTAACGAGCGCAAATAAAAAAATTGCAAAGATAGCCAATGCAGCTCATGAAGTTATACATGGATAGGTAGGAGCTACCGAATGTCATTTTTGGTGAGTTTGGACATTTACAAGCGAATATGAATGAGAGACATTGTGCAAATGAACAAACTTTTGACGCATGCTTGTCTGAAGGAAGAACTCTGGATGTGTACACGTGGAGTCGCTAGGTCAACATGTCTGCCTGCTCTGCTCAAAGAGGGGGGAGGAGCAGATGGGCCGAGAACAGAGAAGAGAAAAAACGCAGATAATTCATCCAAAGGCTTTGACTTCTCAAACGCGTCACAAAGCTAAACAATATGATGCCCCTTCACCTTATTAATTCAGCCACTTACTTAGATAACTAGCAAGTTAAACTTAGGGGTCACATTAACGCAGAATTCTTTGCTTTTCACGCAGGAAAAAATATTAAATGCATAAGAAATCTTGCTGCGTTTTGTAAACGCAGATCTAAAATGCTCCTTATTGTAATTTCTGCTCTGCATCAGACTAATTTTGTTCTTCAGTTGCACTTCTCCACTTGGATGAGAATTCACATATGGGCATTCCATGAGCAGACAGCACTGATGTGTAGCTACTTTGCTCCGGTACTTTTCTCGGTTTAGTCAGCCAACTTTTCTCCGGTAAAATGCAAGATTAACTTTAAGCAAAACATTAGGAAATGTAGCTACATTCTTCCTATGATAAACATTAGAAATAGGATAGCCTTGCATCGTTTTTGCAAAAAAAGACCTTGCTTTTTCATTGTAAGCTAATTTACTTGTGTGGCTGCCAGCCAAATGGCGTTGCAATTCTGTTGTCATCTGATGAAAATTAAGCAATTTCTGCCGAATGTGATGCACTAATGTATTTTCAGTGAAGGACAACTTGCACGTCCCTGATCACAATTGAAGCAAAAAAACACTTTCAATATAAAACGCATCCTCTGTCAATACACAGCTGGACTCGCCTGCGCCCGCCTTCTCCAGTTGTGCTATTTACAAACAAACATGTGACTGGCTCAACTGTTCTGGGGAACTACAGTAAGCTTCATAATGTGAAATGAAGAATGTGATCTGCTTTATCGCCTAAGGTATTGCACAAGTTGACTGCGGGTATTTACTTAAAGTGGCTACAAATATTTAAATGTATTGCAAAACCTTCAAATAATTAATTTAAAACGGTATTGACAAACCATCCCATGGCTATTTCCAAACACCCCGGTATACGGTATACCGCCCAAGCCTACTAACATCTTACAGAAAACACACAGCATTTAACCACATTTACAGAATGATGGAAATGATAGGGGTCAAGGCTTTGTTGGTGGTTGTGAGTTGTAATTAGCAAGTATTTTGGGCTGCACCAACAGAACTTGTCAGTGTAAGTAAAGATCGCCTCCTTGAAACCGGGGCTGAAGTGGATCAATGTAGAACGGAGCTTTTGATCTGGGCCACTAACGGTTTCATAAGCCACGTGAGTGAATGAGTCAGGACTCTTGCTGCCTCATTAACACAGACAGACTTATGAATCAGTCTACGAATACGCAAATAGCCACTAACACTGTACAGTACTAGCCTATAAGAAGGCTCAGTTACACTGCCATTACCAAACACCAAATCTATAGCCTAAAAAGGCTATAGCCTAAATAGGCTACACAGCCATTAAGATGGAAGATCTGACAAGAGCTGAGGTCTTGTGCGATTAGTACTACTGATCATTATCTTAGCCGAGTACTAGACCTTAGCCACACATGACATGGGTCTACCAAGAAGAACCCAAATCTTCAAATCAAAAGAAGGAACAGGGGCCAAGAGAGAGCACTACGGTTTTCCATGCCACTTATTTCAAACCTCATGCCACTTTGACCTTTAACGCTGAGCTTGTTACCAGGCAACCCAAAGGTCAGGGTCTGCGCTGGTGTATTGAGGGGGAGACAAAACTATGCTTGAGTTCTGACGCAAGTCACTTTCTCTGAGTGGGTCAAATTTGTATTTTAGTGGTCGCTCTTGTAAAATAGATTTGATCTATGAGAATAACCTTTATTAAGTATATAAAGGCTGAATACAACTTGGATATCCAAAACCTTAAAATCAAAGCAGTGGCATGTTAAGTGTCATGACTACGGATGCAAATTTAAGTCGACAACGCCTATTCCCCCTCAGGAGACTGAAAAGATTTGCCATGGGTCCCCAGATCCTCAAAAAGTCCTACAGCTGCACCATCGAGAGTATCCTGACTGGTTGCATCACCACCTGGTATGGCAACTGCTCGGCATCCGACCGTAAGGCGCAACAGAGGGTAGTGCGTACGGCCCAGTACATCACTGGGGCCAAGCTTCCTGCCATCCAAGACCTATATTCTAGGCGGTGTTAGAGGAAGGCCCCAAAAAAAATTGTCAAAGACTCCAGTCACCCAAGTCATAGACTGTTCTCTCTGCTACCGCACGGGCAAGCGGTACCGGAGCGCCAAGACTAGGTCCAAAAGGCTCCTTAACAGCTTCTACCCCCAAGCCATAAAACTGCTGAACAATTAATCAAATGGCCACCCGGACTATTTACATTGACACCCCCCCCCCCCCCCCCTCTTTGTTTTTACACTGCTGATACTCGCTGTTCATTATCTATGCATAGTCACTTTACCCCTACCTACATGTACAAATTACCTCGACTAACCTGTACCCCCACACATTGACTCGGTACCGGTACCCCCTGTATATAGCCTCGTTATTGTTAGTGTGTTACTTTTTTTCTTTAGTTTATTTAGTCAACTGCATTGTTGGTTAAGGGCTTGTAAGTAAGCATTTCACGGTAAGGTATACCTGTTGTATTCAGCGCATGTGACAAATAAAATTTGATTTGAAAGTTAGCAAAAATAGATAAGATCTTGCTACCAGGGAAAGGTAAATACCTGTCTATTTATAGAAAAATCACCCTGATGAATTATTTAGTCATATCCCAGTTGACCTATTTATACTTATGGCCCTGCCAACGCCGAATGATTTGTCTTTTAAATTATTTGAGCTAAAATTCTTTCTTTATTTGGAACGGCAAGCCAGACAACATAAAAAAGTGCTTTTTTATATAATTAATATGAGTTTGGGGGTTAAAATTATTAAATATTAAAGCATTCAACCGCTCACTAAAAGCATCAGTCATACAAAAGTTATACTTAAACACGAACTGGTTCTCCAGTAGAATAGTAAGAATGTCTCACCCATTCTTACTAGGCCCTCTTCCCTTTATCCAGATTACAACCGCTCACTTTCAGTTAATTGAAAATTGAACCTTTTTCTAAATATCACCCTTTCTATAACAAGCCATACAAAGCTGGTTGCAATTCCAGTTTCATCCACCAGAAAACACAGAACAAATATTACAACAAATATGGTTAAATTCAAATATACTAATTGATTAAATAACATTCTTTATGGATAAAAATTAATAGGAAAATCTTTGTTAATGATATTATGAATAGGAAAGGTGGAGTTGTCACGTGCAGTTAACATATATGGAAATGTTTGCTCTAGCCAAAAATGAGAGCCAACTGATTGCAGCATTACGGCAAAAACGGAAGAGGCAAGTGTAAGGGGGAGAAGGTAGGGAACTTGTTTGTCTGCCCTTTATATAAATTATGTTTTGGCCAGAAAAAAAAATATATATCAGTTTTACTTGAGGATCAAAATGTTGCTATGTAACTATAATTTTTATTTATTTTTTTAAGTGCCATGTCTGGAAAAATACACCAACAAAACACAAAAACAGCTGATCATATTTTGTAATGATTTTAAAACAATAAAATGTATTACTAGTAAGAAGTAATGTGGTATATGGTTCCATTTCATGTGACCTGAGTGTTTTAACCAAAATATCACAGATGAGACAAAAATATTCACCTGCCCCTTTAAGGGTGGGAAGTTACCATGGTAGCGTGACTTGAGTCATGTTTGTGCCTGTGAGATTGAGTCCGACTAGAAGCGTAGTCTTCTCTTCCCTAGCAGTTGAAACTCAAACATAGAAAAACAACCTAGCTTGTGAACAAAACAATGTAAATAGCCAAAAAACAAGGACAAAGTCTCATTTCATTTTAGGCCCTGCCCACATGTTAGGCCGATTATGTTTACAGTTACACAATACCATACTATTGCTTTATACCAATGCTTATTGGACTGAGGGGCAACCCCCAGAAAGCGTGAGGTCTTGTGTGACCCTGGCAGGAAATAAAGATAATCAGAACACTGCCATGCTGTACACAGGCAGGCAGGACTGGAGCACAGTGTGTGCCACACAGAGCCTATGACTTCTAGAGACAGAGTGTACCTACAGCAGCCAATGGCAGATCTCCATAAAGCATGCTGCGGAAACTCGATGCTCGACTGCCAATGCCCGGGAAGAGCACTACGGTCTCTCTGCAGAGGAAGAACACTTGAGCCGTGGCTTTGATGAGTGGGCTAGAGCCCTGCTCAGACAGTGACCCCTCTCTGCAAATGTAAAAAGAAGATAGGTAGGGGAAAGGAAACAAACAATATCTCAGGCTATACAGTGCCTTCAGAAAGTATTCATACCCATTGACTTATGTTGCGGTACAGCCTGAATTTAAATTGATTCAATTGTTTTTTTTCTCACCCATCTACACACAGTACTCCATAATGACAAAGTGAAAACATGTTTTTAGAAATGTTTGCTAATTTATTGAAAATGAAATACAGGAATCTAATTTACATCAGACAACCAAGTTTTCCTCTAGGATTTTGACTGTGCCTATTGTGGAGTACCTACAATGATCTTGATCCATCCTCAGTTCTATCACAGCCATTAAACTCTAACCGTTTTAAAGTCACCACTGACCTCATGGTGAAATCCCTGGGCGGTTTCCTTCCTCTCCGGCAACGGAGTTAGGAAGGACGCCTGTACAGTGCCTTGCAAAATATTCATCCCTCTTGGAGTTTTTCCTATTTTGTTGCATTACAACCTGTAATTTAAATGGATTTTTATTTGGATTTCATGTAATGGACATACACAAAATAGTCCAAATTGGTGAAGTGAAATGAAAAAAATAACGTGCTTATTTTTTAAAATACATTACAGAAAAGTGGTGCGCGCATATGTATTCACCCCCGTTGCTATGAAGCCCCTAAATAAGATCTGGTGCAACCAATTACCTTAGGAAGTCACATAATTAGTTAAATAAAGTCCACCTGTGTGCAATCTAAGTGTCACATGATCTGTCCACCCCAGTCTGCAACACCACTAAGCAAGGTGCACCACCATGAAGACCAAGGAGCTCTCCAAACAGGTCAGGGACAAAGTTGTGGAGAAGTACAGATCAGGGTTGGGTTATCAAAAAATATCCTAAACTTTGAACATTCCACGGAGCACCATTAAATCCATTATTAAAAAATGGAAAGAATATGGCATCACAACAAACCTGCCAAGAGAGAGCCGCCCACCAAAACTCACGGACCAAGCAAGGAGGGCATTAATCAGAGAGGCAACAAAGAGACCAAATATAACCCTGAAGGAGCCGCAAAGCTCCACAGCGGAGGTTGGAGTATCTGTCCATAGGACCGCTTTAAGCCATACACTCCACAGAGCTGGGCTTTACAGAAGAGAGGCCAGAAAAAAGCAATTGCTAAAAGAAAAAAATAAGCAACCACGTTTGGTGTTCGCCAAATGGCATGTGGGAGACTCCACAAACATATGGAAGAAGGTACTCTGGTCAGATGAGACTAAAATTGAGCTTTTTAGCCATCAAGGAAAACGCAATGTCTGGCGCAAACCCAACACCTCTCATCACCCGAGAACACCATGGTGGTGGCAGCATTATGCTGTGGGGACATTTTTCCATCGGCAGGGACTGGGAAACTGGTCAGAATTGAAGGAATGATGGATAGCGCTAAATACAGGGAAAATCTTTATTTTTTATTATTTTTTTAGGGGGCAGATCAGCTTTAATATTTCAGATAGATTGTAACTTCCATCAATGTAATTGTCTGCATCACTTACAATCCCCCATATGTTTTTTCTCTCGCATATATATATATATATACACACACACACACACACACACACACACACACACAGTGGGGAGAACAAGGATTTGATACACTGCTATTTTGCAGGTTTTCCTACTCACAAAGCATGTAGAGGTCTGTAATTGTTATCATAGGTATACTTCAACTGTGAGAGACGGAATCTAAAACAAAAATCCAGAAAATCACATTGTATGATTTTTAAGTAATTAATTTGCATTTTATTGCATGACATAAGTATTTGATCACCTATCAACCAGTAAGAATTCCGGCTCTCACAGACCTGTTCGTTTTTCTTTAAGAAGCCCTCCTGTTCTCCACTCATTACCTGTATTAACTGCACCTGTTTGAACTCATTACCTGTATAAAAAGACACCTGTCCACACACTCAATCAAACAGACTCCAACCTCTCCACAATGGCCAAGACCAGAGAGCTGTGTAAGGACATCAGGAATAAAATTGTAGACCTGCACAAGGCTGGGATGGGCTACAGGACAATAGGCAAACAGCTTGGTGAGAAGGCAACAACTGTTGGCGCAATTATTAGAAAATGGAAGAACTTCAAGATGACGGTCAATCACCCTCGGTCTGGGGCTCCATGCAAGATCTCACCTCGAGGGGCATCAATGATCATGAGGAAGGTGAGGGATCAGCCCAGAACTACACGGCAGGACCTGGTCAATGATCTGAAGAGAGCTGGGACCACAGTCTCAAAGAAAACCATTAGTAAAACACACTACGCCGTCATGGATTAAAATCCTGCAGCGCACGCAAGGTCCCCCTGCTCAAGCCAGCGCATGTCCAGGCCTGTCTGAAGTTTGGGGCCATGTATCGCGAGATCTTGGCCAACAACCTCCTTCCCTCAGTAAGAGCATTGAAGATGGGTCGTGCCTGGGTCTTCCAGCATGACAACGACCCGAAACACACAGCCAGGGCAACTAAGGAGTGGCTCCGTAAGAAGCATCTCAAGGTCCTGGAGTGGCCTAGCCAGTCTCCAGACCTGAACCCAATAGAACATCTTTGGAGGGAGCTGAAAGTCCGTATTGCCCAGCAACAGCCCCGAAACCTGAAGGATCTGGAGAAGGTCTGTATGGAGGAGTGGGCCAAAATGCCTGCTGCAGTGTGTGCAAACCTGGTCAAGACCTACAGGAAACGTATGATCTCTGTAATTGCAAACAAAGGTTTCTGTACCAAATATTAAGTTCTGCTTTTCTGATGTATCAAATACTTATGTCATGCAATAAAATGCAAATTAATTACTTAATCATACAATGTGATTTTCTGGATTTTTGTTTTAGATTCCGACTCACAGTTGAAGTGTACCTATGATAAAAATTAGACCTCTACATGCTTTGTAAGTAGGAAAACCTGCAAAATCGGCAGTGTATCAAATACTTGTTCTCCCCACTGTGTGTGTGTATATATCTATATATATATACACACACACATATGTATATATACACACACATACAAATCTATATATATACACATCAGAGCATATGAGCGGAGTGGAGCGGTGAGAATCTTAGCTCCTCGCTCACGGAGCTGTTCACCCCTCCGCTCCCCCCGCTCAAAGCCACATCAGGCCAGTCCGCTCATTATCGCTCAACGCAGTTTGCATCGCGCTCCACTCAAATCGCCCCCCGCTCACTCCAAAAAAGGAACAAAATCTGCATGTATTTCACTTTTAGCTTAAACCACAGCCTTACTTTTATGGAGGACTAAAAGTGCCACAATTAAATAAATAAATACACCATTAAATAATTACTTAAATGTGTCATTAATTAATTCAAATTAGAATTAAATACATAAATGTGTAATTAAATGTATCATTAATTAATTCAAATACCGATTCATTTTATGTAAAATACATATATAATTATTTCACTATTTACATTTACATTTCATGATCCTGCATTGCAGTGATTCATGAATTACTTAAAACTGTCAAACTGACCCATCAAAGTCAGTGGGCGGGGCTAACGCGAATCTAGTCTGATCCATTGCTTTGGTCTGAAGTAGAGTAGGCCAACCTGGATAGAGACAATGGAGGATCTCCGTGAACTTTCCAGGGAGTTGGTTAGAGACATTTTAAACTTAGCAGAGGATGTAGAAGCAGGACCTGCTGACATTATCCGGAATTGATTTGTCTTGGCTTGATGCAGAGGGTAACCAATCAGGCGTTAGGTTCCGCCTACCAACTTTTGATGGGTCAGTTTGACAGTTTTAAGTAATTCAGGAAGCACTCCAACGCAGGACCATGAAATGTAAATGTAAATAGTGAAATTATTATATATGTATTTTACATAAAATGAATCGGTATTTGAATTAATTAATGACACATTTAATAACACATTTATGTATTTAATTCTAATTTTAATTAATTAATGACACATTTAAGTAATTATTTAATGGTGTATTTATTTATTTAATTGTGGCACTTTTAGTCCTCCATATACTTTATCTCCCCGAATTTGTTGCATACAGACTCATCTCGGATTATCCATTCTGTCTTGAAACAGGGATCTAACACTGACGCTAAAATGAGATGTTAATCAGTATAGTATATTCCATAGCGAATTGACACGTTGTTTGCCAATGTTTCTGCAAAAGCAGCGATGCCCATTGGAAGTGCAGCGTGAGTGTAATCGGTGAGCAGGGATTTGATTTCTGTGACAGCAGGGAGGATCATCCCCAGGTTCCCCAGCTCCTTCTGCATTTTGTCTGTGAGGTCTGCTAGTGGTGTCAGCACACTGACAAGGTGCGTCAGCTGCCATACTTGATTCAGGGTGATGTTAGCAACATTAGACTTGAGTTTGTTTTGCCATAACGGATCTTTTTGGAACAACCGGATGAACGACTGAATCATCCGCAGCTGGCTGCTCCATCGAATGGCGCAGGCATTTGTGGGGCGGACACCTAATTGGTCGGTTTCCTCTGTGCTCTTGAGTACACTTTTCACCAGGTGCACGACTTTCACTAACAGCCTATTAATGTTGTTGTGCTTGTTAACTGCGTTTTTGATCGCCAGCTGAAGCATGTGAATGGGGCATCTCAGATGTAAATTTGACAAAGTAAAGTACTGATTTATCATAGTTTCTTGGGGGGGTGTAGCCCGGTTGAGCTGCGTTGGCTAAGTGTTGCATCCCTTCGCGTTCTCCTTTACTCAGCGGTTCATAGTCCATGAAAATCATTTTTTTAAATGCAACATCCAGCTCTCTTTTTCTCTCCCTTGTTATGGTTGGGCCTTTGCGTGCAGTGAATAAACTTTTGAATTCCTCAACCCTTTTCTCTTGTTGCTGCTGCTGCTGCTCCTCTCGC